GCTCGACAGCCGCGCCTCGCTGTCCTGCACAAAGTCCACGAAGTTGGAGGGCACCAGCCCCCGCTGCCCGTCCAGAAGCTCTCCTGGAGGGAAAGAGCAGCGCCATTAGAAACCCTGAAGGGGAATCGCGGGTCTCTGCTGCTCACAGTGACCCCCAGATGTGTTAAAATGTCCCTTTTCCCAGCCCGGCGCTCAAAGGAGTCCGAGCTCTTCATTTCTTGGTCTCAAGGTTGTTTATATTATCTCATCTCTAAAATCCCTTCTCCCGTTCAGCCGAGGTGTGCTCAGCAGGACAGTCCAGGCACTCTGCCCGCCCCCAGGGTGGTGTTACCTTTTATACTAAAAACTGCCTGTACAATACTTACAACTACTTCTCAATACCTATCACCTATGTTAGACAGTGAGCTTCTACTCTAAACCAACCTAAAAGTGCCAACATCACAGCAGAAGATGGAGGCCAAGAAGAAGGAGGAGAAAGGCTGGACAGGCCCAAATTCCTCCATCTTACCCCCTGAACCCCCCATTCTAAAAACCCCAAGAATCTATTTTTTCACCCTGTGATAAATTCACTATCATTCTACTTAAACTGTCGTGGCTTGCAGATCTTCATATAAGGTTGGTAATTTGCTCCATGGGTCATAATCAAAGTCACAGGGGTCTTGGGCTCTGTGCCAGGGTCTCTGAGCCCCCTGGCAGGGGTTTGGGCAATCCAGGACAGAGGGATGTCCTGGGTATCCAACAGGAGAACAGCTTGTCCATGGCAGTGCCCTGAGAGTGGGCAGGACAGGGGGCAGGGGATGAGTGACAGGGCATAAACAACATCCCAGCTTGGGAGCAGAAAGGCTTATTAAGGGAAATACCAGATCTGCCAGTAAGCTTTTTTGTCAACTTCAATCTCGCCAGCAGGAAAAGCTGACACTATAAAATATTTTATAATTAGCTCTGCCTGCAAGGAGCGGCTTTGCTGGTGCAGAAACTCTTTTAATTAACACCGTGGCGATAAAGCCAAATTTAGCGACCGATTACGGAGCAGACGGAGGAGAGAATTTGGAGCGTGCTTGACAGAGGAGCAGTTTCCAATCTGCATGAATTATCAGGAATTCGGGGGTTCGGTAGAAGTACCTTCATAGAAGCCATCAAATTCCAATCTGCATGAACGATCAGGAATTCGGGGGTTCGGTAAGAAGTACCTTCATAGAAGCCATCAGATTTCAATGGGCATGAATTATCAGGAATTCAGAGGTTCAATAAGAAGTACCTTCATAGAAGCCATCCTCATCCATGTCCCCGTACACATAGAGGTACTTCCCTGCCGTGAGAGGCAGCTCGGCCTCGGGGTTCTCGTTGGGGCCATCGAAGGGGTTGTAGCTGTGGGGACAGGCACAGGGATGACTCAGTTGTGGGGGTCTTTTCCAGTCACTGCACTCAATTTTATGTTCCTTTTACACCAGTTCCCGCAAGATGCACTTAGACGCTTCTCACTCAGGGCTCTTGATAAACAGTGGCCAAATTATCTTTATTTTCCAGAGTGAATTAAAGCAAACTCAGTTGCGAATTAAAGCAAACTCTTTTCCAGTCACTGTATTCAATTTTCTGCTCTTTTCACACCACTTCATTAAACTTCTACAGAAGCAACGTAAAAGAAGACAAAACCAGTGAGCTACATCCAAGAGAAGCCTCTGAGAGACAAAACGTACTTGTGAAGTACTTAAATTCATATCCATCCTGAAAGAAACTGCTAGCCACTGAAATTTTTATCATGACAGTCCCTCCTCATGCCTGAAATTTTAATGTGCAAAGTCACGGACACCAAACCTCCATTTGCCTGAGGAAGTAATTGAAAAGAAGAGATTGTGACTCCTCTCTAGAGCAGGAGGTGCCCATTTATTTAATCTGATTTACACACTGGAGGGATGCAGGGGGGTGGGAGAGCTCAGCCCCCTCCGCCAGCTGGGGCACGGGGACAGGCTCTGCTCTGCATGTAATAATTCCATGCAATAATTCAGTGTATGGATGGGGGAGAGCCCAATGTGGGACAGGCTCTGCTCCGAGCACAGGCTCCCCAAAGCACCCTATCCATGCAATAATTCAGTGTATGGATGGGGGGAGCCAGAGCTGGGGCAGGCTCTGCTCTGCATGTACTAATTCCATGCAATAATTCAGTGTATGGATGGGGGGAGCCAAAGCTGCTGGTGAATGTTCCAGCTGAGCATGGGGTCTGTGAGGAGAGGGGGCTTTACCTGTAGCGGGCAATGCAAAGATGGACTTTCCCAGAATATCTCTGCTTTGAGGTATTGGAATTCTGATCATTATCCATCTGTGGGGGGAGGAGAAAAAAGACAATGTGGTTACAAAAAAAAAAAAGAATGAACAGTTTTCCTGACAGGTGATATCAATCAGTGAACACACAATATCAGGGGAAAAAAGTTAAATTCTAGTATGGAGCACAACTGGTTCATTTTACCTAGAAGGGCAGAATCACTTACAACAAATGCTGAATTTAGAACAGGAACAACCAGTGCCATTGCAGAGTATCACTGATTTATTGATTTATTGATTGATTGATTTCAGACATCCCAGCACTTTGTTTCATTTTTTAGATTTAATTCGCACACTCTCCCTTGGGTCTGGGTATCTCTAAGGGGAATGGAGCTTAATTTCTGTGAGCTTGCATAAAGTGAGAGCGGATCACATAATTACACTGCAGAAGGCACAAAACGTTCAGCTCTGCAAAAGAGGGCTTGACATTCTCAGCCAGAGATAACTCAAAATAATAGAAAAGGGGAATTAAATTTGACGTTTGCTTCTCCTGTTCCTGGCTGTTAGTTCTGCTTCCCTAAGTCTCCTTGCTAAGCTGCTTTTTCTGTGGCCTCTTCAAAAAGCAGAGAGTGTTTCCACTTTTCAATAATGCTGCTACACAAATTTACACAAATATTCCCCCTGGACAATCCTCAGATATGCCCATGGAATTCCCACCACACAAAAATTCGAAAGGACTCACGTCTGAATCAAATCTGCATCTTGGGGTGCCAGCCCTGGCCTTGGACAGGAAGGTGGGTTTGACAGACAGCTGCTCTGGTTTGTCCCCAGAGACCTGCAGGGGTCTGATGAACTCTGAGATCACACAGCGACTTCCAGAGGGGCTCTCGTGGCCTGCCAGGACACAGCACACACAGTCAGGGGTGCCAGCACAGCAGCAGGGCACTGCCCCAGCCTGGCACGGATCCCGGCAGGCTGTGCTGGGCACACTGCAGAGCAGGGCAGCCCTCAGCCTGCAGCTCCCACACTTTTGAAATCAACACCATGGAACAAAACAACGCACACAGTGCAGGCATCCAGCTCCCAGAGTGTGGTATCCTGCTGAAATCAACACCACGGAACAAAACAACGCACAAAGTGCAGGTATCCAGCTCCCGACCTTGGTACCCTGCTGAAATCAACCACATGGAACAAAACAACACACACAGTGCAGGCATCCAGCTCCCAGACTGTTACATTGCTGAAAGGAACACCATGGAACAAAACAACACACACAAAGTGCAGGCATCCAGCTCCCAGACTGGGGTACCCTGCTGAAATCAACACCATGGAATGAAACAACACACAAAGTGAAAGCATCCAGCTCCCAGACTGGTACATTGCTGAAATGAACACCACGGAACAAAACAACACACACAAAGTGCAGGCATCCAGCTCCCAGACTGGGGTACCCTGCTGAAATCAACACCATGGAATGAAACAACACACACAAAGTGCAGGCATCCAGCTCCCAGACTGGGGTACCCTGCTGAAATCAACACCACGGAACAAAACAACGCACAAAGTGCAGGCATCCAGCTCCCAGACTGGTACACTGACTGAAATCAACACCATGGAATGAAACAACACACAAAGTGAAGGCATCCAGCTCCCAGACTGGGGTACCCTGCTGAAAGGAACACCATGGAACAAAACAACACACAAAGTGGAGGCATCTCCATCCAGAGAGCCCAGAGGTGAAGTCTCCCCAGTGCAATAACGCACCTCTGTCCCTGGTGTGCCTGGGGAGGCTGAGGGATGCTGTAACACACCCAGCACTGCAGAATTCCTGTGTTTCTCTGGGGACTCTGTCCTCACCTGGCAATCAGAAGCCAGCCATGCATTTCTCTACTCAGAAAGAGATTGGAATGCTAAGGATGCAGCTGTCAGGATTTCATTTTGCAATGGAGCTGTTGGGGTTCTGGCAGGCAGGGAGTGCCAGCAGCACCTGCCTGGTGTTTCCTGGGGGCTCCTCACTGACCAAAGCACTCTGATCTGATCCCAGGCCATCCCTGCAGCTCCCAAAACACGGAAACTCAGACTGTGCAGAAGGAAACATCCCCAGAAATCCTTCTGGAATATTTCACTGTGCTTTTTAAAAAGAGGAAAGGCAAACAGAGATTATACTGCACACGGAGAGCCTCACAAGAGGCTGAACTCTCTTCTCTCCTGCTGCCTCAGGTGGAAACCAGAGGTGAGAGCAGCCAAAGGAACAACACAGCCCAGGCTGGCAGGGAGGCCAATAAAGCTGATAAAAGCCACTGGCACATTTCCCTTTGCTGGCTGAGTCCCCAGAGCAGGAACTGTGACTGAGCTGGGTCTGAGCAGGAGCTGCAGCAGGGCACAGGGAGCTGCTGTGACAGCTCACGTGTGCACCCTGCCTCTCATTAACACAACGAGCCCGTGCTCTAATTACCCAGCCCCTGAGCATGTGTAGGGTCAGCATTTCCTCTCCTGCTCTGCCACAGGTCTGGGCAGCCACATTTTGCTGCTGGATTTCCAGATTCCCAGTCCAGGTCAGCAGGAATTACCAGAGGAACCTCTTTGTTCTCACTGCAGAGGAGAAAAAGCTCCAGGAATGCCATCAGAAGGGTTTCTGCTGTGCTCATCAGCCCAATATGATTAATTTTCTCTGCATCACTGTAATCTACAGCAGGCCAGCTCCAGCACATTGACAGCAGGGAAATACACAACTCACCACACAAAAGATTAATTACAAGCAGCCCCACTTATGGCAATCCCCAGGCTGGAAAAGGGCACATTTTTCATTCTTGGAACCTTCCTCACGTCTATAACAGGGAAGTCCTCCCTGTTCAGGAGCCTTTAGCCAATTCAGCTCCTTCTGTTTGCTGTTAATGTGTTTGCCATCCCAGCCTGCCAGTGCCAAGCCATAAATAATTGGGCCAACTGTGATTATTCACTCACAGGGAGCCTCTGGCTGGTCTCAGACCTCCTGCACCCTGCAGGCTTTGTTTGCAGATTGCTGGCCCTGGGTATAGAATGTGGAGGAAGGGTCTAGGGAGATCTAATTTAAATGTTTCAGGAGAATGAAATCTGTCCATGCTTGCATTACAGTTAGACTCTCCATTTTATTTACTGCAGTTGCTGATTCCATATGGACTACCTAAATTATCTAGAAAGACCATTTAAATGAGCCTCTTAACTGATGAATAATAAATCTTAAGGCTTCTATATCTGATTGTGACATTATTGTAGGTTTAAAGTGAACTTTTTATGCTCTAATCCATCCTGGCTGGGTTTATTTCATTTCCTGATACATTCAGACATCACCAATTAAGGCAAAGCAGCTGGTCATAAACTGATCTCATTTCCATCATTTGCTTTGCTTTAAAGCTCTCCCTGTGTTCCCTCTTGTGTTCTTTCTTCCCCACACATAATAAAAATAATTCCACTTCTGGTTTGGAGGACTTACTGTACTCTGCCATCATTCCTGAGAGAGGGCTGATTTCAGCAATCAGAAATCCTGCCCCTGGCTCAAACACGAGTTTATTGTTATCAATAAAGTGCGAGGATCAGCGGTGTCCAGGCAGGTCTGATGGTCAGACACAAGGGCAGCAGGCCCTGGGTTCCAAATCCCACAAAAATCCATGGCTTTGGAGAGAGGGTTCAGGGAGGAAAGCCCTGGACTGCCCTGGGTGCAGAGCCGGCTGCGCTTGCTGAGGTTTCACTCAGGGGTTACTGGGACAGCCCAGGTTGGCACCTTTGGAAGCTTTTAAAAAGGTTTTCCATTAGCATAAGAATAAGAATAAATTAGCTTGGAGAGTTTGACTGAGCCCTAAAAGATGTTCAGCTGATTTCCATCTTTCATTAAATCAATCTCAGTGATGCAGGCTGGACCTCCTGCTGCCTGAAGGACAGCTCAATACCTAATTACCTTTCCTTTTAAATTAATTGTTGTGTGACTCACATGGAATAACACACAGTTAAACCTGTGATTCACATGGAATAACACACAATTTAACCTGCGATTGACATGGAATAACACACGATTTAACCCGTGATTCACACGGAATAGCACACAATTCAACCTGTGATTGACATGGAATAGCACAGAATTTAACCTGTGATTGACATGGAACAGCACACAATATAACGTGTAATTCACATAGAATAACACACTATTTAACCTGTGATTGACATGGAATAGCACACAATCCAATGTGTGATTGATTCACATGGAACAGCACACAATCTAACCAGTGATTCACATGGAATAACACAATATAACGTGCGATTGACATGGAATTACACACACTGTAATGTGTGATTCACATGGTATAACACACAATCTAACACGTGACTGATACGGAACAACACAATATAACGTGTGATTGACACGGGAGCTGTTTTTAGGTGTCCTCAGGTAACTCCTGCCTGGCCTTTGTCCTTTCCTATGAATAATGGATGGTTTACAAAGCTCTGCACCGGGAGCTGTTGCCTCTGGCAACAGGAGATGGCCTGGTGAAAGTTCAGCACAGATCCTGGGTAAACACTCACTGTGGGCTCTGCTGGGGACTGCAAGTCTGAGAACATCAATACAAATATATATATATATTTTTGTATTATTACTTTATGTTCTCCATTTCTCTTGAGACTATTTTTTCTTTTTGGGAAGTTTTCCTTTCAAATTTTTATGGCTCTGTCTGTCTGTCTGTCTATCCCAGGGCTCTGTCTGTCTGTCCATCCCAGGGCTCTGTCTGTCCATCCCAGGGCTCTGTCTGTCTGTCTGTATCTGTCCATCCCAGGGCTCTGTCTGTCTGTCTGTCCATCCCAGGGCTCTGTCTGTCCCTCCCAGGCCCTTACCTTTTCCGATAGAGGTTGCGATTCCGTTCATCAGCTGTGCCAGGGCTCAGTCTGTCTGTCTGTCTGTCCATCTCAGGGCTCTGTCTGTCTGTCTGTCTGTCCATCCCAGGGCTCTGTGCTCTGTCTGCCTGTCTATCCCAAGGGTGTCTGTCTGTCCCTCCCAGGCCCCCAGCCCAGCTCTCACCTTTTCCAATGGAGGTGGCGATGCCGTTCATCAGCTGTGCCAGGGCTCTGCCTGTCTGTCTGTCTGTCCATCCCAGGGCTCTGTCAGTCTGTCTGTCTGTCCATCCCAGGGCTCTGTCTGTCCATCTCAGGGCTGTGTCTGTCTGTCTGTCTGTCTGTCCATCCCAGCGCTCTGTCCGTCCCTCCCAGGCCCTCACCTTTTCCGATGGAGGTGGCGATGCCGTTCATCAGCTGTGCCAGGGCTTTCCCGGGGGGCCCCGGCGGGGCCAGCGAGGAGGAGGAGGAGGAGGAGGAGGTGCCCAGGAGCTCGATGGTGCCCGCCTGCTGCCGGAACCGCTCCAGCTCCCGCGACAGCAGCTTAAACTGCTCGCTCTGCGTCCGGCATTTCTGCTCCAGCTCCCGCACCTTGGCCTGCGGGCACGGAGGGACGGGGCTCAGGCTGGGCGGCACCGGGACACGGACAGGGACAGGGGAGACACGGGACTGGGGACACACAGCCCCCCAGGGTGGGGATTTGGGGCACAGAGCCCCCCAGGATGGGGACTGGGATGGGGATTTGGGATAGAGAGTCCCTAGTGTAGGGATTTGGGGCACAGAGCCCCCCAGGGTGGGGATTTGGGGTACAGAGCCCCCCAAGATGGGAACTGGGGATACAGAGCCCGCCAGGATGGGGATTTGGGGCACAGAGCCCCCCAGGATGGGGACTGGGATGGAGATTTGGGATACAGAGTCCCCAGTGTAGGGATTTGGGACACACAGGCCCCCAGGGTGGGGATTTGGGGCACAGAGCCCCCCAGGATGGGGACTGGGATGGGGATTCAGGACAGACACCCTCCCAGCCAACACAGAGCCCCCCAGGATAGGCATTGGGGATGAGGATTTGGCATACACAGCCCCCCAGGATGGGGATTTGGGATGAACAGCCCTCAAGGATGGGGATTGGGATGGGGATTTGGGATACAGAGTCCCCTAGTGTGGGGATTTGGGGCATAGAGCCCCCCAGGATGGGGATTTGGGATGAACAACCCTCAAGGATGGGGATTGGGATGGGGATTTGGGATACAGAGTCCCCTAGTGTGGGGATTTGGGGCACACAGCCCCCCAGGATGAGGATTCAGGACAGGGATTTGGGATGAACAGCCCCCAGAGCCTGGGGATTTGGGGCACACAGCCCCCCAGCTCTGGGGGACCAAGGGCATGGGGGGCTTGGGGGTGATTCCCTGTGGGACCAAGGGCCTGGGGGGCTCTGGGGGGGTCTCCAGCTCTGACTCCAACCATCCCAAGAGCAGCGAAGGCACTGCAGCAGGGAAGCCCCTTTCTGCAGACCTGCTCACTCACACACCAGCTAAATGAAAGCTATAATCATGTGTCCATGCTGTGCTCTGAGGTGAGCAAACATCACCTTCGTGCATTAAACCCCTCTGGTGCTTAGCTCAGCAGCTGTGCTAACACAGCAAGTCTGGATAGCAATTAAACTCCTTCAGCTGAACTGAGAGCTTGGGCTTTCTAAAGGAAAAAACATTCTCTGTTCGTGTAAAAAAACCTGTATATTTTATATATCAAAAAACCAACCTGTATTACACAGCACCTATAAAGAGATCCTGGCTGAAGGAAAATGCTGACAGCACCCAGAAGTACCCAAAAATCCAAATGTTCTACTATACAAGGTGGCTCTGTTCTTTTTCTTCTAACAAGTACTTTTTAAAATTTAGAGTCAATTTTAAAGATATCATTTCCTTGCATTCATAACACACAAATTAATTTATTTCTGCAAAAGAAATCTCAGGGTGTCCACCTGACTGATTACGAAACCAAGAACAGCAAGAGTCAGACACTGTGGGAGTTTTACACAAACATGAAATACTTGGGGTTTTTGTCTTTCATTTTTTTGCTGTGGTTTTGAGCAAAGAACAATCTGAATTCAGACAAAATCCACAAGGCAAAGAACAGTCTGAATTCAGATCAGCCTTGGGTGCAAATATCACCTAAAACAGTCCCTGCATTAGCAAAGAACAGTCTGAAACAATCTGAATTCACATCAACCTCAGGTGCAAATTTCACACAAAACAGTCCCTGCATTAGCAAAGAACAGTCTGAAACAATCTGAATTCACATCAGCCTCAGGTGCAAATTTCACACAAAACAGTCCCTGCGTTAGCAAAGAACAGTCTGAATTCAGGCAAACTCCACAAGGCAAAGAACAGTCTGAATTCCACAAGGCAAAGAACAGTCTGAATTCACATCAGCCTCAGGGGCAAATATCACCTAAAACTGTCCCTGCATTAGCAAAGAACAGTCTTAATTCAGATCAGCCTCAGGTGCAAATATCACCCAAAAGAGTCCCTGCATTAGCAAGGAACAATCTGAATTCAGACAAACTCCACAAGGCAAAGAACAATCTGAATTCAGACAAACTCCACAAGGCAAAGAACAGTCTGAATTCAGACAAATTCCACAAGGCAAAGAACAGTCTGAATTCCACAAGGCAAGGAACAATCTGAATTCAGACAAACTCAACAAGGCAAAGAACAGTCTGAATTCAGGCAAACTCCACAATGCAAAGAACAGTCTGAATTCCACAAGGCAAGGAACAATCTGAATTCAGACAAACTCCACAAGGCAAAGAACAGTCTGAATTCAGACAAACTCCCCAAGGCAAAGAACAGTCTGAATTCCCCAAGGCAAGGAACAGTCTGAGCTCAGGCAAACTCCACAAGGTCACAGCCCTGAGGAAAGCACCAAGCCATTGCTGCTGGCATGCTGGTGAGGAACTGGCTGCAAACCAGGCTGAGCTCTGGTTAACCATGCCCAGGCTCATTCCCTGTGCAGACAGGACCCTGCTTTGGATGGTTTGGTGCCAGGCAATAATGCAAAGCATGCTTGCACAGCAGTGAGTGCACACTCCATGCATGGCCAGGCAGGGCTCTGGTCCCATTGCCAGGGAGCAGCGCAGGGCCCAGGACAGGGAGAGGAGAATGGGGCCCTGAAATACCTGCATGCTGTCCAGGGTGCTCTGGGTGAAGGGCAAAGCAACAAATCCCAAACACGACACAGTGAACAAAGAGATGTGAAATAAGCAAAGAAATAAAAACAGTTCTGGGTAATTTTTTTTACATTTCAAAGCAGTCTCAAACAGCTGCACGTGTAAAAACATGCACCAACACAAACAGCACTCCAGAAATCAACACTGCTGCTGATCTGACACTGCACACGAAATAAAATGATCTGAAATTGCAACAGGCACACGAAATAAAATAATCTGAAACTCCAAAAGGCACACAGAATAAAATGCTAACAAATAACGTGCTGGTGGCAATAAAAAGCAAAATTTGGAAAAAGCTTTGGAAATCTTGTTGGGGTTATGCAAATCAGATGTTGCAGACAAATCAGCTAAATCAGAACTGTGCTCAGCTTGAGGGGGTAAATAATCTCCTGCTTGTCTTGTTTCTGTTTCCCTGTATCAAACACTTTGCACCAGGCATTAAATAAAAACTTCAGCTTACAATCTGGAAGCTAAAACAAATTTAATCTAAACGATGCTAATGAAAGTCTATGAGTAAAACACACCCTGTGGGAATATCAACTTTTATAGATAATAATAAACAATTGCTTTAATTTATTTTTTTTAAAGTTGATCAATGCACGAGGAAAAATCCACCTTTCACTGAGGCAGGGCCAGCAAGTACATACAGAAATTCTGTGGGAAGGTAAGACTGGAAATTGCCTTTAGATAACAGCAAATTTCTAAATAAAATATTGCACGTGCACGTGCTATTGTGTATCATATTTTTATGTCTATCATATGTTTTATTGTCTATGATATTTTTGCACGTTCTTTAGGATATGTACATTGACACTTAAAACCATTCCATGCCTTTTCCTCAGGCAGAAAATGAAGTGTTCTCTCTCCACCTCACCCTTTGAAGGTTTCTGAAGTATCTCAATTCTTTCATCAGGTTTGCAGTTTCTGCTCCTTTGACACGTTGCTTTATGTTTATTAGACAGTATTTAATTAGGAACCCTAGGTAACTGATTGGTATTTGCTGCTGTACTTCCAGCCTAATAAATCAAAGTTCTCATCATTAATCACTCCCTTTAATAGTATTTTACAAAAAATGGTACCAAAAGAGAAACATACATCACTTCCAACAGCTCAGCTTAATGCCCTCCTAACTGAATTATAAATCTTATAATTATAAGGATGCAATTATAACAGAAGAGAAAAAACCCCCTCTTTGCCTACATATTCCCTGAAATGCTCACAGCGATGATTCTGTACATTGCCCTGCTCAGAAGGGAGCTGGGCAAGGCAGGGCAGCCCAGGGGATCTTACCTCTAACAACTGAACTGCTCCTTCATGTTCCTTCTTGGCTTCAACCTGAGCCTGGGCGG